AAAAGAATAAGCAGTTCAATTTTATGTTTCACCCTTTCAGTATACCCTTCTTTTTTGGGTATAACCGGCCATAAATGACAGGCGAGTCATATTATATCTATATTTGCAATCAATGTTGTGTTATGGTTATCTTGGTTCAATAATTTATATAATGTTGTATATATAAAATATATTATATATAAGTATATATATATATTATATTTAATATTTGAAGAACTTTAACATCAAAAGAGTATACATAGGTAAGTCGAGCGCCCCTCAGCCGTATTTTCCAGCGGTAACCAGTTTTTTGTTTCTAACGGAGAATGACAACAGTGCAATTAGAAAAACGAAAGAATAGAAGACAAATTTGGAATCGGGCCGCCGTCGGGTGCAAGCAACGAAATCGTATTATAAGAGTGAGAAAGAGAGGGAAACTTAGGAATGTTAATTTTCCTTTCCTACAAACATGATTGGGAATTCCACAATTTACTTGTGGACAGCCAGAACTGCAGGGTGATGTTCTGTTTAGCAATTAATATGACTAATCTATCTACTTTTACACCTGAAAACTGATCTGGAATGCCATATTTTTGACTTTACACTTTCATTATTCAATTTATGGTTAATGATAAGGGCTACATTGTATGTACGTCGGTACACACATAAGATAAAAGGTTGCTGGGCCGGATATTACTTTTTATTTCAGGGGGAAAGGTATGAACCTATGGGGAAATGCAGAGCCAACTTGGAAGAAGACGCGCTGACGACGTGGCTACACTGATTTTTCCTAAGATTATTTTGTAACCCATTAAGTTATGAGTGACTTTAATGAATGGTACCGATAACACTGTCTTACAAAGATTTTGCAACGGAGATGGGGTGTATTTTTTTGTGTTGGGGGTGACGAAAGACTACAAAAAACATAAAAAAAAGGGGGTTAGTTAGTTGTAGAAATTTCGTAGTAGCGGCAATTTTTAATTTTTCGCCTTTTTCGAAAAAAAGCGAACGTTATAATTGAAAAATTTTACCCAGTGGGATATATGGGGATGTTCGTATTAGAATTCTCTACGACACCAGAAAAGAATTTTTTACATTTCTTGCCCCACGGTACCGTTTTACAACGTCAAAGGTGAATAAAAATGCTAAAAATGACATTTTTTTGAATAGCATTTTCTACACTTTTGGCCATAACTCGGGATAGCAATGAGGTAGGCAACGTCAAATGGGCTTAAAATTTGCGTAAGAGTATTACCTTTGAAACAAAGTACTAATAAACTAAACTATAAATTGCAGCTAATACTTGTAAGAAAGGCGAAAAATTAAAAATTGCCTCTACTGCGAAATTTCTACAACTAACTAACCCTTTTTTTGATGTTTTTTGTAGTCTTTCGTCACCCCCAACACAAAAAAATACACCCTATCTCCGTTGCAAATTTTTTTTGAATTTTGTAAGACTGTGTAATCCATTAACATTTTATGTAATTTTCTTTTATTACAAGTTACTCAAAAACATTCTCACCTTATTTTCTACGAAATAAAATACCCAACAATGAATATTGATCGAAAAAAAACTCATAAGCTAGCTAAATCAGTGCTCTCCAGTATTATTATATTACCCATCGAAGATATACGTAGTTTATGAACAAGATTTAAATGTCAGTTTATCATGATGTTTTCGTTACCATCATGGCCTTCAGATCCGGTTTTTGGTTTACACACATTTTAGCCTTTCTGTGTGTAATAACACTTTTATATAGAAAAGAGAAATCGATGTTTATGTTTAGATACATATGTACATATGTGTGTGAAGCTAAAGAATTTCCATCTATAAAAAAGGGAAAGCTAACATAAGTTGATATAGAAACCAAAGTTAACACAATATACCTTAAAAAGTTTTAACGCGCTGTGCATTTAATATGGCAAACTATTTGATTCTTACATATTTTTGGACTGCTGTCATTACAATAATTATTTGTTGTATTCCAACCTTAAGTCAAAACATGAACAATTATAAGCAGCTCAATATGATTTCGGATATAAAATCATACAAAATTGGCTTTAATCCGAGACAAGTCTTTGTAAACAAAGGAAGAGATACAAGCACGCCAAATTTTATCAGACTAGTGTTAATGCGTCTAATTTATGGAATCGCCACTAGTATGGGTATTGAAGACCGATTGGAAGATACATTTAATGGTGCATTGATACCTCCAAACGCTAATAATGAAATTGAGTTTTTTGATTATGGTGATGAGATTAATGGTGAGGCCGTATTAGAAAATATTTTTAGTAATAATGATTAAAAACGTTATAAAATGTATTAAAAATAAAGAAACCCAATTGTTGCAAAAATGATATAAAACTCTTAAAAATCGTGATTCATCGATTTTTTATTGCCATATAAACGACGATAATGAAAAAACAGCTACTATTTTGTTTCTCTTGTCGTGGGAGTTGACGGGAGAAATTTTGTTTCCTCGTTTTGCTGGTAAGTATGCTAGAAAGCAACGATTTGCAGCGGCATACATAGTTTATATTTTTTGACTGTGTGATTTAAAATTGTTGTTGAGGAAGATTGTTTCATGTTCTATTTATGTATATGTCGGAAACAGGGTTATTTCTTTCATTTTTCAGACAATTTTACATTCTTTACTATTTTACTATTATTATTGAAGTGAAACTTCTTTATCGGCGTTGGAAAAAATTTAGCGTCACATTTTTTTGGTTACGCGTCACATTTCTCGGTTACGCGTCACATTTCTCGGTTACGCGTCACATTTTTTGGTTACGCGACACATCCCCATCCCTCTCTAACCACTGACGAACGATCTCTCTATCTTCTTCTATCCTCTCTCGCTCTCAGCGCGCTTGCACAAAGTTGAGAGCGTAAAAATTTAAAAATAGAATACGGTTGCGTGTGTGAGAACAAGTAAGTGCGTATGTATGTATGTATGCTTACTTGAGCAAGAAGACGATTTTTAAGCCGAAATCCTTTCTGTGCCAAAACGAATTAATTTACAGCAGTAGAAAAAAGGGTGAGAGGTGTGAGTGTCAAAAGAAATTCTAATTGAACAGGTTGCATGCAGATATTAACAGTTTAATTGATGTATTAGCTTATTACAGCTTAACTATGCATAAACTATTTTTGATTGGCACCTTAATTCTTATCCATTTTTTTCATCAGAGAAGCATAATTTTTGGAACATAGAGTTTTCTAACCACTCTTGAATTACGAATTAAATTTTATCGAAATCGTATAACCATGTCATATAGCTGCCATATAAACAATAGTCGAAAATATGGAAAATTAATAGGAAAATCGTCATAGCTTCGATGTTGTATTTTGTTCGACATATGTAAATACATATGTATGTATTTGATGACTGCAAGGGTATATACATAAGCATCTTTTCTTGTTTAAAAATAATATAGTAAAATCTCAGATGTTGAATATTAAATTAAATTCCTCGTGATTTTTTGTTAATAGTAAAAATACCTGACCTCAATATAAATTTATACAAAATCATTGTAAATTAATGATAACTATAAAAGTTCCAGATTTTAACTTATAATTGTTAAAGTTGCGCTTTAGGGGCTTTTGCTAAAAATGGGCTAGGAAATTTATTCTTTTTTAAAAATGCTACCTTGTTATTTGTTAAAATAGCTGCGAGACAACCCGTTTTTAGAACATTGCCATGTTTTTAATCGAAAAACTTTACCGGAAAGAATTTATTGTCTTCTCAGATGTTTTTACTATATTATTATACTCTTGCAGAGCAAAGGGTATTATAATTTCTGTCAGAAGTTTGCAACGCAGTGAAGGAGACACCTTAGACCCAATAAAGTATACATACATATTCTTGATCAGCATCACGATCAGAATCGAAATACGAATGTACGTCTGTCCGTCTGTCTGTTCCTATGTAAACTAGTCTCTCAGTTTTAAAGCTATCTTGCTAAAACTTTCCCAAAAGGTGTGTAGTTATTGCACGCAGTATATAAGTCGGAACGGGCAGGACCGGTCGACTATATCTGATAGCTCCCATACGAGAGAATGAAATAAAAAATTCTCATGCTGTTGTTTTTGATCAGATCGGCTTGATTTCTTCAAGATGGAGTTTTCTAACTACTTTTGAATTTCGGATTAAATTTTATCAAAATCGGATAACTCTTTCATATAGCTGCCATAGAAGAGATCGAAAAATATATATAGAATTAATGGAAATAAATTGATAACATCGTTGTTTTTTATCCCACGAGCATAATTTTTTGAATATCAGGTTTTTTAATAACCCTTAAGTTGAGAAAAGAGTTTCATGAAAATCGCACAACTATATCTTATAGCTGTCATAGGAAAGATCAAAAAATTATATAAAAATAACGGATAAGCTCAAAAAATCAGAATATAAAGTTTTCCCACGACTCTTGAATTACGAATTAAATTTGATCAAAATCGGACAACTATATCATATAGCTGCCATATGATCTATAGACAAAAATATGGAAAATGAATAGAAAAATCGTCCTAGCTTCGTTGTTGTTCAGCCTTTATGCGTTTTGTTCGACATATTTGATGACTGCAAGGGTATTCGGCAAGCCGAAGCTAGCTTATTTTCTTGTTTTTAAAAACAATACTCATAGGAAACGTGTCGAATAGTGTAAATATTGAAGAAATAAATTTAAAAAACTAAATTTATAATTTACAGTAGAATCCGCTTATAGCGACTTTCAAGGGACCGACGATTTTTCGTCGTTATACCCGGAAGACGCACTAAGCAGAAGGATGTCTGGGGACCAATCAAGCCATCGAGTTTTCGTCGCAATACCCGGACGGACACTATAAGCGGAGTCGTTATAACAGGATTCTACTGTATATTAATTTTTAACACTTTTAATATTTTAATGACAATTAAAATCCTAACATATCTTCCTTTTTCCCTTTCTTTAAGTCTCGGAAATCTAAAGTTTTAGATTTGTATAAATATAGACAAGACTGATAAATTAGTTCGCCAAAGAAGTTTCACTTCTGACATGTGTACTTTGTACGCACACACTTTTTATTGTAATGTAGTGTTAAATTTAGTACTAATGTAGGGTTTGTTTATTTTTAAAGGATAGTGAAATTATTCGTTTATTTAAAGACAATATTTAATAAACGGTTTATAATGATTAAATTGGAAAACTGGTTCGTCATCGCGTCGTTTGGTTTTCTTCGTCAATAAAGCACGTCTTCTCTCGGCCAGATCTCGTCGAACACTCCCTTCTTGCTCGGGTTTGGTCTCGTTGTGTTCATCTTCATCTCCTCATCTCCTTTTGGATCTTTGGCTCTTCTTTTTGTCGTTTCGATGTCGTCTTTTGAAATGCGTCGTTTCGGCCATCTGCCTCGTCGTAAGTATTTCGTTTGTCTTGTTGTCTAGAGATTATAAGGAATTCAGGATATGGGATACTCGCAAAATCACTCCCACACTAATCCTATTTTTTTTCTTAAAAATTGTATTTTTGGCGTTGTGTATCGCCTTTCTTATGTTTTTCTCTGGATCTTCCAGCGGAAATGCCGTTTCTGAGACCTCTGAAAATATAAACAGATATTTATTAAATTTGCTGTTTCGAATAATATATTAAAATAAATGAAAAATATTATTCATTTGTTTACCTTTCAAAATACCATATAGCTTTGAAAAGCTTTTTAGGCTTTTTTTACCGCTCGTCCCGTCTAGGTTGTACTTTGGGAGTAGGTCATCGTCCAAGACGGATCTTATAGTCTTGGCGAAGGTTTTTTTTTTTCTTGAGCTGTATGTTATTTTTGCTTTCTGTAATGATAAAAACATAAAATCTGGACTCTTACAGTATAAAAAAAGGGGTGTGTCCAGCCTACGCACGACAGAAGTGAAACTTCTAGTATTTATCTCTCTCTCTTATCCTTTCATTATCTCTTATTTTCTGTTTTACGTTAGTTTGAGGATTAGAGGTTAAATAATTCTAGGACGAAGCATGGATTTTTGTATCTAATATTTTCTTATAGATGAATGACGATCGATTAATGTATAGTTCCAAAAATGTTCAATTTATTTACAAGTATACAATATTACATAAATAACAATATTATAACAAGAAAGTGTAGGGTACAAATGTATTTATTAAATATCTTTATTATAGTTTTTATTATTGTAGGATACAAATATATTTATTAAGTGTCTTTATTTTAGTTTTTATTAATTGTTTTTACACTGTTTTAATTAGCTTATTTCGCAATCTTTGGGTTTCGCGTCTGCACTGTTTGCTTGCTTGATCAGAACTAACTCCTTCCTCATTATCGCTCTCTGCTCTCACATTTTCAGAGTTGCATTTCAATGTCGTTCGGGTATACACACAATAGAATACGACTTTACATACTTAGAATATTTTAACGGCATCCAACATTTAGCTTATATACATACTTATCCATTATTAGAGTAATGCGTAATTATACATATACATACATACATGCCTGCTACAATTCGGCCTTCCTGACTTATAAGATCACCTGATCTTAATAGTTATAATTCTTTAATAATAAATTTTCATTTGTGTCTTATCTTTCTTTCCCAACCCAATGTTTTATATTTTGGCTACTCCATATTCCTTTGTAAGGATTTCGAGTCAACTGGAAGCCCTCAACGTCTTTTATTAAAAATCGATCATTTCTTAAGATTTTATCAATCATATATGGGCCTTTATGTTTTGGAATAAGTTTTCTTGATTGCCCAGGAGTGCTGTCAAAGTTTTTTACCATTATATAATCACCTTCTTTATACTGACCAACATCTTTTCTTTTTTCATTATAATATTTTTCGTTTCTTAATTGCGCTTCTTTTTGATTTTTTTTCCGCTTTGTTTCTAATTGTATTTAAATCTCTACTTTCTTCACTATCATTTAATTCATCAAGTTTTTCTTTCAGTTCATCTATAATTTTTCCTTTTTGTTCAACTCCGTACAACATCTTACTTGGAATTTGCTTAATACTTTTTTGCAATGTATTGTTAAACGAATATTCTACATTTTCAATTACTGTGTCCCAGTGCATACCTTTTTCAGACTCCGTTAACTTGGCGATCATAGGACCTAAACTTCGGTTCACTCTTTCTACCTGTCCATTGGCTTGAGGGGATCCTGTTGCTATCTTTATATGTTTTATATTTCTTTCATCTAAAAATTGCTGAAATTCCGCTGACGTGAAACAGCTACCCCTGTCTGATACAATGCATACTGGTCTGCTATAAGCACGAAAATAATCTGAAAGAGCTACTATAACTTCTTTAGTTTTCGTGGTTTTTGTCGGATACAATCTTATAAACTTTGTAAATGCGTCTATAACAACAAACAAATGCTTCTTTGATCTACTGCCTCTATTGGTCCGTAATGATCTATATGTATCAACTCAAAAGGTTTATTGCCTTTTGGAATGCTATGTAAAAATCCTTCGCCTTTTCCAGCTTTAGGCGAAAATGCCACACTTCTCAAACAGTTTTCTATGTGTCTAAGAACTTTTTCCTTCATTTTCGGAAACCATTATCTCTTAATAATTGCATTCATTACTTTGTCTCTGCCTACATGCCCTAACTCGTTATGATACTTAAACAACACCGGTTCTTCCATCTCCTTTGGAACATAAAATAATAATCTACTATCATTTGTTTTTCTGTAAACAACCCCATTTCTCATCTCAAATAGTTTATCTTCAGACTTTTCTAATTTTTTTTATTATTTCCTGTAATTTAATATCTCTATGTTGGCAAATTACTAAATTATCCTCAAAACTATTACTTTCTACTACACCTATATATGAACTTCTGCTTAATGCATCCACATGCTGCATCCTTTTTCCTAGTCTATGTTCCAAATCAAAATCATATTCCAATAACTCTAACGCCCATCTAGCTATTCTTGGATTTAAATCCACTTTATTTAATGGTAATGTTAACGAATTACAATCTGTGACTACTTTAAACTTTTTTCCTTGAACATAAATTCTAAATCTTCTTAATGCGTAAATAATTGCTAATGTTTCTAGTTCGAAACTATGAAATTTGGCTTCATCTTTTGTGGTGGCTTTTGAAAAATAAAATATAGGGTGTAATTTTTTATCTTCTTTTCTCTGAAACAAAACTGCTCCAAACCCTAATTTACTAGCGTCTGTGTGTAATTCTACTTCATCTTTATAATTATATAATGCTAAAACTGGTGCCTCTATTAACTTATTTTTGAGATTATTAAAACATTCTAGTTATTTTTCTTCAAAAACGAAATCTTTATCTTTTTTAAGTATATCATACATTGGCTTAGCTATTGTCGAAAAGTCTTTGATAAATCTCCTAAAATATGAACATAATCCTAGAAAACTTCTAACTAAGTGTATTTTGTCTGGAATGGGAAAATTCTGAATTGCCTCTATACCTTTACTTACCTTGCTTGAATACCTTTATTTGTTATTACAAAACCTAAATACTCTACCCTAGATTGCAAAAATTCGCACTTATCCATCCTTAATTCCAATTTATTTGTTACCAATCTATTAAAAACTTCTTTCATGGTTTCAAAATGCTCTTCTATATTTTCACTAGCTACCATAATATCATCCATATATACATACAATTACTTTATTTTTCCGAATCATATCAGCGAAGATTTTGTTTATGAATCTTTGAAATACCGCAGGAGCGTTTTTTAAGCCCATCGGCATTCTCAAAAATTCGTATTGACCTAACGGTGTAATAAATGATGTGTACTTAACAGACTCTTTTAGACATGCTTTAAATCTAATTTTGAAAATACTGTTTTATTAACAAGCTTGTCTAACAAATCGTCAATTAATGGCAACGGATAATTATCTTTTATTGTTATTTTGTTCAATTTCCTGTAGTCTATGCATAACCTTAAGTCCCCTGATTTTTTCTTTACTAATACTATAGGTGATCCATATTCCGATTCACTGGGTCTAATAATTTCTTCTTCTAAATATTCATCCAACAATACTTGCAACTTTTCTTTTTCCATGTAGGATAATCTTCTTGGGGAACAACTAACGATTTAGCATTTTCTAAACTTAATTTAATCTCACACTTTACCTCAGGATTCTCAGGTCTTTGCTTATTAACATACTCATCTTCTAATATTTTAATAAACTGGCGACGAACATTGTATGCTACTTTTTCATCTATTCTATAATCAATCTCATTCTCTACTACATTTATATTTAGTAATTCCCTTTCCACCTCACTTAAATTTTGTTCATTTTCATTTACACAATCACTTGTTTTTAGAGAATCATCATAAACTTCAGCTACTTTACAACCATTTCTATCTTTATCATACTCATATTTATCAGCTTCATAAAAATCCTCATCTCCTTCAAAACAATTTTCATCTTTCTCGTAACAATTTTCTTCTCTTTCATAACAATTTTCTTCTCTTTCGTAACAATTTTCTTCTCTTTCATAACAATTTTCTTCTTTCTCAAAACAATTTTCTTCATCGACATCATTTTTAGCTTTCATTTCCACCGTAACTAATTTTAAAGTGTTTAGATCTAAGTTTAAGTTGCATGCTTCCATAAAATCCCTTCCCAGAATAGCGTCATGACTCATAGATTCTTCGTCCACAATTAACAAATAAAAATATACTTTATTCAGATTTTTGATAACGTAACATAATACTTTTCCATGTACTTTTAAATGACTTTTGTTTAAACCATAATATATTTTATTCTCCGGAAATATTTTAATCTTATTTGGTACTTTATTTATTTTAATGAAGGAAATTGGGCTTCCCGAATCTATGAGGCATTCTGCAATTACAAAGTTATTAAAACCTTGTACAAAATGAATTTTTACATTCCTTACGTAATTGTTTTCAGCTCTCTTGCATGTATTTTTATTTTTGGGGCATTGTCCTACCCAGTGTCCCATTTCGCCGCATGCATAGCACGATCCAGGTTTCCTTTTCGGCTTGAAACAGTTCCTGGCGAAGTGACCTCTAGCGTTGCAATTGTGGCATCGAATTTCCTTTCCATTGGTTTGGTCCATCGGAGAAGTCTTCTTCTCGAACGATACTGCTCGTTTTGTTGGCAAACTTACTTCCGAAAAAGCACGTCTGATATGCGAAATATCACGGAAGCATTGAATTCGCGCCTGATTGCGCAAGCCTTCGTTAGGTATACCCTCGATGATGCGGTCCAACAACTCCTCCTGATCCAGACTGACATTTTGAGCTAGCATTAACTTTTCATCCAAGTATTTCCCGAATTTCTCAGAAGACTGCCAAGTACGAGACTAAAAATTTCGACGCTCCTCTAGCTTAGACTGCGTATTTCCAAACATTGATATCATCTGTTCGCATAGTTCATCCATTGATTGCAAGGCCCGATTTTGGTTTTCGTATAGCCACTCATTAACTTTGCCCTTGACCTTGCTTACGAAAAGCATACACATTTGATTTCCAGAAATTCCATAAATACTGGAAATGTTTTTCATTTGCGCAATCCACTTACGAGCACAAGTTTGTCCTTCGTATATGCCTAATGCTTCATTCGCCATCTTCCAAGAAATTTCGTTGTTGTTGCCTTCTTCTGTTTCGTCCGCATTCCTCTTCAAATCTGACTTCTTCAAGTTTGTTCGTTTTTCTCCTTTCGTCTGTTCCAGAACATTCTGATCTGCAGTCAATTTCAGTTCAATGTTTTGCATTAACTGTCGCAACTCAACAATGATCCTGTCATCTCTTTCTGGCTCATTCAGTTCAACCTCGTCCTCTTCCTGGTCGTCATTCTCTCCATGCTCGTTCTGAGAAACCGTTTTTTCGTTTTCGTTTTCTTCAGAATTTGCACCATCGAAACTATTTAGCATTTCATTTACAACTTTTTCATCAATGTTATTGTTCATGTACATTGTGTTTAAACGCAATATTAGTTCGCCTTTTGTGCCTGTTGTTGGCATTTTAAGGACTTCCAACCACCTTTTAAGTTGCACAACCGAAACGGTGTTTAAATCCAAAATGTTATCCATTTTGGTTACGCCCACTTCTGAATTTGTAGGGTACAAATGTATTTATTAAATATCTTTATTATAGTTTTTATTATTGTAGGATACAAATATATTTATTAAGTGTCTTTTTTTTAGTTTTTATTAATTGTTTTTACACTGTTTTAATTAGCTTATTTCGCAATCTTTGGGTTTCGCGTCTGCACTGTTTGCTTGCTTGATCAGAACTAACTCCTTCCTCATTATCGCTCTCTGCTCTCACATTTTCAGAGTT